AAATCGTGGGAGTTCGCTCATGCGGCTTACACGTGCTTTTGTCAGCGGATCCCACGCAACAGTCTGCGTGTATGCCTACCAACAAATGGGACTGCCTGCTAGTTGATACGGGCCATCCAACCAATGTACGCTGATAGCAGGTGCAGCGTCAGGGTAAATGACGTTAAGTCGAAACCCTTCAATGTTGGCACTTATCTCTCCAAGGAATGCGTTCGTCCCATCTCCTGTTTGTGTTGTACATGGATAGAATAGTAAGGAGCAGCCAAGGCAATGAGAGTATCAGTGTAAGAGATGTGAAGATGAGAAGGTTGCGGTTTGCAGACGACCTTGTTTTATTGGCATGTTCTGAAACTGATCGACAGTGCTTTCTCGTTCTCCTGCCCGTTGCTCTCTTCAGGTTAACGGAGAGGCAGTGGAGCAGGTGCAGAAATTTTCAATTACCTCTGAGTCGTATTTACTGGTGATGGAAAATTTGAGGAAGAGATCGACCGGCGAATTGGTGTAGTCAGTGTCGTTCTGCGTGGACTGCCCTGATCCATTGTGACTAAGGCAGAGCTGAGTCTGAAGACTAATCCGTCGGTCTTGAAGTCCATCTTCAACCTTATACTTACCTACAGCCATAAGTCGTTGGCTTGTACAAGAGGATGAAATGGGCTTTCTGAGACGAATCGCTGGCATCCCTCATCTTGACGTGGTTCGCAGACAGAAATTCCAGAAAGCCTTGGCAAGCAGCCGCTGCTTCTTCTGACTGAGAAGTCCCATGCTGGTGTGGTTTGTGCACGTGTTGTGGTTGCCTTCAGAAAGGAAGACTAAGCAATTACTACGTGCCCAGCCGACCGGCAGACGGCACAGGGCACGGCCAAGATTAACCAGCGGTAAGTGTATTGAAAGAGTCTGCTCTAGACTCCGGTCGTTTTGTGCCGAACCACAGATTGACTCCGGATCACGTTAGAAGCACTGTCTGATATTCCATAAAGATTTAACAGCTATTCTTCTAGTAATCCTCGGACACTGAGAATCACGTCGATTACAAAACGATCTAACCGTAAAACTGCAAAAATTTTTAATTTGGCGCAGGTCAACAGTTTTGGGGACCAAATTCCTCTGCTAAAAAGTTTATACTTACACAAACACTGCAGCAGACATCTGTTAAAAACAGAGGTCTATAGTGAAGAGTACCTACCTAAAGCCGATTTCACCAAGAAAGCCCATCATGTCATTTGAAGTGGCCAGACAGTCAATCGTCTTTCGCACAAGCGTCGGACAGTTGCGATTGTCATCTTTATTCGGGTCGCTCAGGTAACGCAAATGGTACAATGAATTGCCGACGTCTAAAGAACGGCGCACGTGCCAATAAACCAAACTGGTGGTTCGCTCTGCAAAAGACAGACACCAAACTACGTATAGAGAAACGAAGAAAAACAAAGATCAGTACTGTTAGCAAAGACGAGTTCGTGTTCGCTAAAGTTTTTGTATTCCGCATCTGCCAGACCCTTCAGACGCTCGATCAGTAAGGGATACGCCGAATCCAGTACGCTGCCCTGCAGCAGATATTCGGATGTGTTAATGATTCTAGGCAGTTCTTTGACCATTTTCGTTTGCATATTCTAGAAAGCACACGTTTACTTTAGATATTAAAGACACTGCCTGAGGACTATGTCACTGCATCAAGAATCACCAGGCACTGACGTTCGCTTAATGACAGACATATCTTGACTTTTCAGAAACAGAACAATCGCTTGATTGGATTAACTATACGGAAGCAATGAAGCCAAGAAGACTTATCACCTGCGTACGTGAAAAATTGTCAATGGTCAGCATGTTACATGTCAGAAAAAATTGAATGGAGATATACTTCCGATGACAAACCCTTCTTTAGAGAGATCATGGGATGAGAGAAAAAAAATGAACATGAACCTTAAGCAGCCGGTAACTTTGCAGCGCTTCTAAAGATAGTGACAATAAAACAAACCACTGTACCAATCACCGCAAATTCATCTTACTCATGTCAACAACGAAAATCTATGCGTTTGTAGTCCTGGCAAATCCATGTGGATAGCAACCAAATTGCAGGAGGAGGGTCAAATAATTCGACTATATTGAGTACCTGAAGCATCATTATCAGGACAAAATCCAGCTTCTCGGACAATAATTGTGAACACCCTGATGATCAATGATAGAGTATGATAAGCGAAAACCTGTTCATTTCATACAATTCAAATAAATTTACTGTGAACTATCCAGTATCTTTTACAGGAGTTGCTCAATCGATAAAGTATTAGACTCAGAACCGAGAGCCCTTGCATTCTAGCATTCGGATCACTAGCCCTTTTTCCTTTTGAAACCGATAAATGCGTACCATTTTGTGGGATGGAAACAAGAGACTACAGGCTATGCTTTTCATATGACTATAGACTGCTTTTAAAATAAGGCATTCCTTGACGATGATATAGAAATAAAGATAAGCACTGCACCATTAATTTCAAGAAATAAGTGATCCAATCATGAAAGTGAAGGAAGACTGACATTCCAACTGTGAACAACCTTCCTTTTCTGTCCAAAATAAAACACTTTGGCTGATCGCATGAAGATAAAAATCAGCAGTCAACTCAATATTAAGATGCCAGAAATGGCCCCACGATGAAAGCTCAAATACGGCTGAAATTTTTCTAACAAGCGTTTCTTCTTTTCTTTTCATATTACTGTTCACAGATGCACTTAGGCACTAAGTGGGTACCTACTATATCGCTACTATATTTTCATGAATTTGTCAATCAAATCACAAATTTTCACTTGACTTCACAAAGACAAGATTTCACGGCGCACTGCCCCGCCCCAGCTTCTAACGAAATGCGCGCCATTATTTAGTATTTTTCAATCCAAAATAGCCGTTTTTATTACAAGAGCTGTGGTAACAAGAAACTAATTAATGCATTTTCGTTATTAATGGGAAGGTAGCTTAACCATCAATCAGTTCATTGCATAAAGGCAAAACAATTACCTGCAAAAATACATTCAGAAAGAGAAGTCAAGCCGTTCAAATGCCACAAGCATTTCTTTCTCTGCTGGTACAACGAATACAGAACACTGCGTTAAACAGCTTCAACGATCGTTACAAGGAAAGCCTCGAAATACCCTAGAATACAAAATCAGTTTCGTATTAATCCCCTGATGCATACTACCATAAAAAGAACTTGAAATTCTGGAAATTTCGTCACTGCGGAGATGGACACAGCCAACAATTAAGAGGAGCAAATTGAAAAACCTAGAAAAATAAAAGCATTAACAGGTAGTGTAAGCAATAAATAGATCCACTATGTAAAGAAAGACTCAGCAATAGCGGATTACAGCAACGCCAAAAGACGCTGCCGACACGTCATTCTGAAGTTCAGGCCTCGCTAGCTTGTCATCACTGGCGTCAACAGCTTCAGAGACTTACGAAGAATGAAATATCATATTCATGGGCACAAAATACGCTGTGAGAAAGGAAACATGCTGCATGAAAGCAGAAAATGCTACTTGCCTACTGAGAGGGCACATCATGAAAACAAACTTTCGATGTCGTCAACTCATTAACATAAGGCACCAATTTCAATCATGAATTAACCACGATTGGCAGGGTCAGATCGAAACTAGGCAATGAACAACAGCTTACTAGTTTAATAGCATAATAGATATTTAACTTATACCTTGAACAACCTTAACCGGTGAAGCAGATCTCAAACGAATAATAATATGCAAATCTGCTTTAGGACCATGCAACATTAAAAAGGGATTAAAATAAACTGAATAATTTTAAGAGTACATCAGATCAAGATTAATCACGCAATAAAGAACAGAGAACACCACGCTACAACTATAAGTGCAGGCTTTACTAGCGAAGTGTCTAGGAAGTTTCGTTATAAATCTTAACAGTAGTAATGAAATGAGCAATTAACATTCAAACAGAGCAAAGGAAGCCGTAAGAGCAAAAACGCGAAAGAAAACGCAAGAAACTAAAGCATCAAGATTAATTTGCCACCTAATATATGGTTTTAAAATCCCTCACTCATTGAAATTCAGCCACTGAAAGGTAAGAGTAAAATGAAATTACTAGTTTAAGGCTTTATGCGTCAGTGCACAATAATAAGAATCTAAGTGCACATCTAATGTGAAGGTAACATCGATTAGCTTAAGGTAAACAACGCAATCTGTTAAAAATAAATTTATGTAACGGTAACTGATCGTTCCTGTCCATTCAAATAGTACAGAAAGACATAATAAGTATTCTAAAAATATTACCTCTTAAAAAGGGTTAGAATAGTATTCTGCTTCAGAAAGGATAATATTTTGTTTCGCTTGCATTTATCATGAAATTGTAGAGCACTTATCTTTGCACCCA